AAATCTACCTTAAGTTGTAACCTTGGGCTTTTTTGGGTAATTTAGGTGTCATGTCTCTGCCTAGGGCCAGAGGTAGAATTCAGATGTCATTGTTTTAAGCAAAAATTAGTATGAGAGCAAATTTAAAAAGAATTAAAGAAAGAAATGAATCTATAAAAATGGTTTACTTTACCAGGAGAAAATAGCCTTTTTCTAATAGCTCCCTCCACTCTGCCTTTGGTCTAATCTGTAGCTGCCCTTTCATTTGGTGCTCAAGACTTTTAAGAGGGGTGGTGCCCCCCCCCCCACTCAGCATGGCTTTTCACTTGCAAAATTAGTGTGAGGCCAGACAATGGTGGCACACACCTTTAATCCCAGCACTCAAGAGGCAGAGGCAGGCGGATCTCTGCGAGTTCGAGACCAGCCTGGTCTACAAGAGCTAGTTCCAGAACAGGCTCCAAAGCTACAGAGAAACTCTATTCTGAAAAGCCTAAATAAATAAATAAATAAGTGTGTTCCCAAGACACAGGAGGTAGGACTTGAAACTGATTTTGTTCAGAGTTCATCCTCAGCAACCCTGCTCCCCTGTAGCGGGATCTGACCAAGAAAACTGGGCAGCTGTTGCAGGCCACACCCAACGAGGCATGGGCTGGGGGGGATACAGGCCAGGCCTGTTGGAGCTCACAGCACCCTATCAATGCCCCAGATGCTGGACACAGAGCTGTAAGGTTTCCTGTTTGCCTTGCTGGATTTTTGTCTCGTTTTGACCCCGTTCCTCCTTTCTATATCTTCCATACTAATTGCTGAGAGTTTGTACAAGTAATGCATATTTTTAGGTAGTTATGCAGGTACATATACACAGACACACACACACGCACACACACAGAGAGAGAGAGAGGGAGGTTTATGAGATGGGGCTTAATAAATACTAGCTCAGGCTAACCTGAGCCATCTGTGTCCCCCTAGGCTGGCTTTGAACTTACAGCAGCAACCGTCTTTCCTCCTTTTCCCAAAGTACTGGGTTACCAGTAGGAGCCACCACACACAAACACACACACTAACCCTAACTCTGCTGGCTAAGAGGAAGGTACTTCTTTTAAAAATATAAGTGCCACAAATTGGTTTTGATCAGTTTTAAAAAATAGTTTTTAAAAGAGAGACAAAGTTGGAAGGTGGGGAGGTGGGTCTGGAAAGAGTTGGGGGAGGGTGAGCCAGCTTTTCTGTTGCCATGATGAGGCACTATGACCAGGACAACATATAAAAGGAAGGGTTTATTTGGACTTCCAGTTCCAGAGGGGTAGAGTCCATCGTGGTAGCAGGCAGCAGACTCTTGAGGGGAAGCAGAGAGTGAACTGGGAAAGGTGTGTGTGTAACTCTGAAACCTCCAAGTCTGTCCCCAGTAACATACTTCCTCCAAGAAGGTCATTCTCCCTAAACAAACCCACATACCACCAACTTGGAACCAGTTATTCAAACATCTAACTCTTTGAACAACATTCTCTTTCAAATCACCACTCTGTGTATGGGTGTGGTGTGGTGTGTGTGTGTGTGTGTGTGGTGTGTGTGTGTGGTGTATGTGTGTGTGTGTAGTTTTGTGCCATATTTATTATATTCATTCCCCTCCCCCAGCTCTTCCCATGTCCCTTTTCCCTACCTACCAACTTTTGTCCTTTTTAAAAAACATTTTATAACTCATCAGAACCGATTTGTGGCACTTCTGTTGTTAACTGCAGAGCCTCCTCTTAGCCAGCATCTGGGGCATGCTCCTGTCACAGGGGCAGGAAGGCAGGACAACGGGGAGTCACTTCACCCTCCACCGTGTCTAGACGGCCCGACCTGCAGGCCTGGCACCAGCTATCCGCCTGTAGGAGTGCCAGGATTACAGATGGGCACTTCTGCACCCGTTTCCTACTGTGGGCTCTGAGGACCTGACTCAGACATCAGGCTTGAGCATGGGAATTCTACCCACTCAGCTCTTTCCTTAACCCCAAAATTCAGGTACTGTCCAAAAGAAAACAGCACTTTTTTAAACTCCTGATCAAAACCTACTTTCTACAAAGAGTTTTTTCTTAGAATTTTCTATATCTCTAGCAATTTTATAACTTAGTCTTTTGTTCATCCATAATTTGCTGTGCATCCCCAAACCAGATGCCTTAATCCGTGATAAAAATTGCCTGTGTTTGAGGCTTTTGTGTTCTCTCCGTGGCACCACAAAAAAAAAAAAAAAAAAAAAAAAAAAAAAAAAGAAAAAAAAAAAAGGTTCCTCAGTAAAACAAACTAAAAAGACAGGTTCTCCAGATTCCCATCCCATGCACCCACAGCTCCAAGGGAGGCAGTGGTTAAGGCTGTTGGTCCCGACCGATCACAGCCTCAGCTTCAGCAGCCAGTCCCTGTTTTCCTAATGTCGTCTGCATATCTGACCAAGCTCCCGAGGATGCTGGTAGTGTTACCCCAGCCTTGGTGCTCGCCCCTAGAACGAAGAGTGTGGTAATCACTGTGTGGATCCCCTGCTTGATCTCACCGACTCGCAAGGCCTCGGAAAGGAGAGCATTTGCCCGGGAGTAGGCATTGTGAAGAAAGCTGTCCAGGGCTCACCTGCAGCTGCTATATAGACCTACTACAAACAGGATTTAGATATAAAGTTTTGAAGTTACTCCACCCCAGCCCCTTAAACAAACACACGTACACTATATCACTCCACAGTGATTTACAAAGGACCTGTTTCTTTTGAATTAGAAATATCAGTGGAAAGCATCCCTGCTTCCTTATTAATAGGTAATCCTAAACCCTTAAGTGCAAACATCATCAGGGCAGGAGCCATCTGTTAGAAGAAAAACATTTTATTTTATTTGGCTGCCGTGGTCTTCTATAATCAAAGCTTTTATCTCCATTTCCCAGATAATGGCTCTGAAGTGGAAAGCCCATGAAGGCATGCCCCTGTATGGTGCGCTTTCTTATCTGCCGTCTCTGGTCTCCCGTCTTACATACCTACTAGTTTCTAACATTTGGTGACTATCTTTTTACCTAAGGTCAGTTTTTGTGTGCATTTTGGTTTTTGAGATAACCTCCTTGTGGCGCAGGCTTCCTTGCTGACCACTACTGACAGCGGTCCTCCTGCCTCAGCCTCCCAGGTACTAGGATTACATGAGGGCACCACCACATCCAGCTTACCTACGATAGAATTCGTAGTATTTTAATTTACATGATTAGCTTTTAGTGAGCCTTATTTCTAGAGACAAAACTTGAACAAGACCCTTGAAGCCCTGGGGTGAGCTTTGCACAGATGACTCCGTCTTGTTGGGTGGGATTTTCTTCACTGGAATGTGGGAGTCAGCTGAATTCAGGTTTTAGCTGAGGTGGAACTTGTCTCACCTGCCCTTCTGTTTTCCCCTTCATCCCTTAGCCGGCCTCCTTCCCAGCTCCCCCTCACACGTCTCTCTCTGACTTGAATTCACTGTTACTTGGTAAAGGTTTACTCATCCATTCATTTCAGAAATGAAGAACTAGGATTGGTGGAGTCTGGTGTTGGTCTTGGATACACAGTGCTGGGTTTGGGTGTAGTAGTACACATCACACACTCACACACTCACACGCGCACTCACACGCACACTCTTACACTCACACATACATACTCACACACACCCATTCAATTAAAAATATGATAAACTGTACTTCTGCTTCCACACACTGTTTTACACTTACTTCTTTAGAGGTTCTGATTTGTTCTTCTGCTCCAGACCAGTGATTTGCCATAAGGAGAATTAAGGCAGCACTCTGAGGCTGGGCCTGTGCAGCTGTTTGTATTTACACCTAGTGACTTTTCTCTCACACTTATGACTTTTACCTTCCATGTTCTTCTGTTTTCCATGGCCTATAAATCAATCTTTAGGACATAAGCATGTAGTTCACCCCTCCCCCCAAAATGTATATATATATATATATATAAACATAAGTCTCTGTAACAATAGGAGTGTCTCCACTTAAATATTGTGTTTGGACAATGTGTAGATAGTGCTGAATCAGGAAAAATGTCTACAGTCAGTGCTGTGAGTTTGAAATTGTGTTCTTAGAAAAACGCCAGTCTGTGGAGTTGCTATGTGGGTTGCTACTGTCTCATCTCCTGGTGTCTCGCACTGACTAACTCAGGGAATGGTCCTTGAAAAACCAAATGAACAGATAGAACTCCTGCAGGCTGTGGGACCTCCACAGGCGTGGCACAAATATGCCCCATACCCCAACACTAAATGCACCAGTAAATTATAATTTAAAAACTAAAGACACATCCCCATACATCTAGAGGTTTTGTTTGTTTTTTATGAACCATGCCATAAATTGCTGAGCAGCTAAAGCTGTTGTAGAAACCTGCAGTGCTCAGGCAGCTTGGGAGTCTGTTCTCTCTTACACATGGGTTCCAGGGACTGGCTCAGGTCATCAGGCCCAGCAGCAAGCTCCTTTCTGACACTGAGCCACGGTCTCTCCAGCCTGGTCTTTGTTTGTTTGTTCTCATGATTCTAGAGAACTGTTTGTTTTTATACAGCCCGGGCTGGCCTTAGTCTTAGAGTCCACTGCCTGGGTCTCCCAATTGTTGGGGTTGTAGGTACGCCCCACCACAGCCAGCCTTAATAAATTCTTTACATTCAGTGGCAGATACCAACAGGTAAAATACTCAAACACTTGTCCAGCCCAGCTGTGGCAGCACACGCCTACAGTCACAGCGCGTGGAAGGCAGGTGCGGGATGACTGGCATGAAGGGGGTTATCAAATATTAATAGGTCCTGGTAGAATGTTCATTTTAGCACAGAAGCTTCCTTTAGCTAGCTTTGTGAAATCCATTTTATTCAGTAGTCTTACAAATTTAAATGAAGCTATAAAAAGAAAGATTATTCCTAAATGTAGAGTGCTTGCCAAAGTTTTCCTTTGTTAACTTTAAAATCTATTCATTTTGTGTATTGTGGAGACTTAACACCTTATATTTTATCTATATATTTATAACAAATATCCCATTCTGTTTTTCTTTATAGATGTCCACAGAATTCTAGAGCATATAAGAGCCAAAGGGAGGAACAGGAAATGCACACACGTATACACACACATGTGCGCACACACACACACACAATAAATACATTCATACTAAAAGGCAGAGTAGGAGAGACTTAATAGTAACAGTTTTAGGAAGACTAAGATTAATTTTGTTAACTTAATTAAGGGTGTTGGGGAAGGAACCATTAAAAGTTAGTCATTTAAGCTGAGAGCCGATATACATGGTGGACGATCGTCTCAAAGATACAAAGAAATGGATCATGGCCATTAGCAGAGAGGGCAGCTTGAGTGGAGAGCAGGACCAGCTGCTCTAGGCAGGTAGGAACCAGTGAAGGGCAGCACCGGCTGCTCTAGGCAGGGAGGAACCAGTGGAGAGCAGCACCAACTGCTCTAGGCAGGGAGGAACCAGTGACACACAGGTCTATACACAGAAGAGAGAGATTTTCAAAAGGACATCTGTTTTCAGTGTGGTGGGGTGAGAGGGGGCAGGCACTCTGTGGCTGTTGAGGTGGAGTCTGGATGACATGTAGTTAACAATGGTCCTCACGGTCCAGAAAAGGAGCTGACCACGAACAACAGAAGATTAACGTATACTATCCTGATGAGACCAAAGATCATGGATTTGTAGTGCTATCAGCCGGAGTTCCTCTCTCCCAACCCTCACTCCTAGACCCTACCCTAGGAGTTTACAGTCACCCTGTGGTGTGGGGGAGAAAGCATTGATCTTGGATTGCAGTTCTGCTGGGTAGGATAGCTAAGATAAGGGGACAAAGATTAGGAATGTAGTATCAACAGATTGAATCCAGAAAGAGACCAAGGAGCTGGAGAGATGACTCCGTTGGGTAAAAGCATTTCTGCGCAAGCATTAGGACCTGAGTTTGAATCTCTAGCACCCACATAAAAAGCTGGATTTAAAATGTGTCTGTAATACCAATATTGGGGGTAGAGACAGAATTCCTGGGAACTCACAGGCCAGCATACTCAGTGAGAGAACAAAGAAACACTGTCTCAAAGCAAGATGGGAAGTGAGGACCAGCTCCTGGGGTTGCCCTGAGACACTTCATGAGGCACTGAGTTCACACGCACACATTGTCCATGCACGCTCACACACGTGAGTGCACACACAAAGAAGCTACAGCAAATGTTTGGGGTGGAGTTACTTCAGGGGCAAAGCTGGACTTCTCGGCCATGTGTGTCAGTGTCCTCTCCCTGGACTGTGTGCCGCTCTTCATCTCTTGGGCACTTCAGACTCGAAATTGAGATCCAGCGCATCTTCCCTTTCCGATGAGTCCTGTTCCTTTGGTGTCTTCCTGATTACCCAGCACTGAAAACTGACTTTGTTAGCCCAAGCACAGTGGTCTAGGCTTAACCCTAGAACTAGAGAGGAGAGGCTGAGGCAGAAGAGTGCAAAGTCTGCCTGCCGACAGTGAGACCTTACCTAAAAAGCCTGGGAGGTGAGTGTTCTTTTCTCTTACTATGTTAGCTATTCTTGGCCAACAATTTGACTACGTCTGGAATGAACTAAAACCCAACCCAAGTGACTGGGTACACTGTAAAGGATTTTTCTTAGTTAAATCATTTGAAGTATGAAGACCCATCCTGATTGTTTGTTGTTGTTGTTTTTCAAGACAGGGTTTCTTTGTATAGCCTTGGCTATCCTGAAACTCACTCTGTATAACAGGCTGTCCTTAAACTCAAGAGATCTGCCTGCCTTTGCCTCCCCAGTTCTGGGATCAAAGGCATGTGCCACCACCTCCCAGCTGGGAAGATACACCTTTAATCTGGATTTTAGGAGGTGGAAAGATCCAGCATTAATCTGGGCCACACCTTCTGCTAGCAGCCTATGTAAAGACATGGAAGAAGGAAGTTCTTACATTTTTGCCTGCTTGCCCTCACTCTCTCCAGCAACTCCATCTATTCACTGGCATCAGAGCCTGCTTCCCTGGATTTCCAGTATATGGAGACCAGATGGGACATCCAGCCTCATGGACTGAAAAATTACTGGGTTCTTGGGCCTTCTTTTGGTAGACAGCCATTGTTGGACTAGCCGGACTAGCCTGTACGTGGCACAAATAATAAAAACCCAGAGACAGATATGGGGGTTCAACCTGAGGCTCAGAAAAGCAAAGCAGCTAGCCACTGGCTCTCACCTCTACCTCAGACTGAAATGGTGATCCTGCCTCCAGGAATCTCAGAATGAGACTGTGTCTGAGAGCTGTCTCCTCCCATTTTATATTCCTCTCTAGTGTTGGGATTAAAGGCGCTCACCACCACCACCCAGCCTCTATGGCTAACTAGTGTGGCTACTGGGATTAAAGGTGTGTGCAACCACTGCCTGGTCTGTATGGCTTACCAATGTGGCTGTTTTACTCTCTGATCTTCAGGCAAGCTTTATTTTTTAAAATACAAATGAAATATCACTACACCTGTAAGCCATTCCAATAAATCCGATAGATAGATAGATAGATAGATAGATAGATAGATAGATAGATAGATAGATAGATAGATAGATAGATAGATTCTATAAGTTCTGTTCCTCCCGATAACCCTGACTAATACACTTGCCCTTTACTTCCCATAGTTGATTACTCTGCCTTTCAGTTTTGGTTTGAGTCAGTGTGTCACTGTGCAACCCTGGTTGATATGGAACTTGCTGTACAGACCAAGCTGGCCTCAGACTCACAGATAGCCACTTGCCTCTGCTGGGATTGAAAGGTGTGCACTCCCACGCCCAGCTATGTTTTCTCTGTGTGTTTTCTCCATGCCCGCTGTTACTGAAGCGCACCAGTCTAGACTGCCTTCCTAAACAGATAACCTCCATGAACATAACAGGGGCTGTGGGAAGGATGGGGGAGCAGCGTGCACTGTGTATATGCACAAAATTTTCTAAGAACAAATTAATTTTTTAAAAGTAGTGAGATCCCAGCTCCCCACGTGAGGTTGCCTCGTGTCTAACATTTCTCTCCTGGGGCTGTCAATATGTCTCTCCTTGCAAGCCTCTGGCAGGACTGTGGCTTATGATGGAACCTGTCAGTGAAAGCTGTGTCTGCGTCACTGCCGTCACCTGTGAAAAGACCTGCCAGAAGATTGTCTTTGCTAGTCAGTTTCTCTCAGCAGTAGTGGATACCTAGAATGTGGGGACACTTAGCCCGCAGCTTCAGCGTGACTGATTTAACCCTTTTTATTCAGTTCAGAAATGTAAGATCTCAACGTATGTGCCTACCATTCCAGCTACTCAGGCCAAGACCAGAGAACTACACGAGCCTGGGAGTTCAAGACCAGCCCGGGCAACACCACAAGATCCAATTTTATAAACTAGAGGAACTCTGAATTGTTGTTTCTCCATCCTTGGCTGTCCATTAGAATCACATCAGGAACTTTAAAAAATGTATTTACTAATGACTGATTCACAGGTTTTGATTCACTGGTCTTTGTAAGACCTAAACAGAAGTTTTGTTTTTCGCTTCCTAAGGGGCTAATTGTACATAGAGAACCGAGAACCAAACTCAGGGTTTATCGGAGTGCTGAGTAGAAAGGCTCGCGGCAGGCTTGCCCACTTGCGTTGGCCTGTTTTCTCTGTAATGGCAGACCTCCCTCATGCTGTACTTGAAGAGCACACACAGTGGTCTCTGAAAATCATGAGACCTGCTCAGTTCTTAAAATGAATCAGATGTGTGAGCTGCTGTGGTCTCGCGGTTAGGAGTGCAGACTGTGGGGTGCTCCTGGGGCTGTTTGCACGTCTGTTACTGACTTACGTGACCTTCATAGAGTCGCTTGCCTCATCTTGGAGTTAACACCTGCTGCAACCTCACAGAAAGACCAACAAGTTGTCTCATAAGAAAATCTTTGTAGAAAGTTGTAAATCACTGACTTGTGTTTGGATCCCCCCACAAGGGGGCCACACAGGCTCAAGGGCTGGGGTGTCTGAATGTGAGACTCAGCTCCCATCTCTGGGCATCTGCTTTCCTGTCAGGTCAACAAAACGGAAGAAAAGTGTAAAGTGGTCCCGCAGCACATGGCCTAGCCTGTGCTGTCTTAGAGTAAGAGGAGGCTCTGCAGCATGCTGACTCTCTGAACGTTTAGCTCAACTGATTATTGTTTTATTGTGGGTAAGAAATCAGATCCATAGGCTAGACGAATGTTCGTAGCTGCCTCTTAGAGTTGGACTTTTTGCCTTCTGTCCAAGAAACCATGGGGTAAAGAAAGTTCATTTTAAATAGGAAATTTGAAATTCTAATTATTTGCATCCTGAAGAGCCCTTAAATACACAGGCAGAAATCCTTTTGAAAAGATAAACCCTTTTTCTCATTTCTGAAAAAGACATTTCACATAATATCTAGGGTATGTGTGACATACATCTCAACTTTCTGACAGCATCGTGAGCTTTTGTGTTGCAGGCACGGGTTGCCAGTGTTTCATTTTCTGAGTGTGAGTGTAGGGCAGTAAAGACAGAGACATTCTGGTTTAGTCCTCTTGTCATTTAGTTCTTCTGGAAAGAAGGGTAAATCCTAGCTCAGTATATAGAACAGCAAGATAGCCTGGTACTGGGGCTGGAGAGATGGCTCAGCAGTTAAGAGCACTGGCTGCCCTTCCAGAGGACCCAGGTTCAAGTCCCAGCACCCACATGGCAGCTCACAACTATCTGTGACTCAGTTCCAGGGAATCTGACACCCTTACACCAATGCATAAAGAATTAAATACATGTAAGATTGATACTGAATCCCACTGAGAAAATTAGGTGGTATAACCTCATAAGATACTAGTTAAACGTCTGTTAGATTTTCACCTGCACCATTCTTAATGAAGTGCTTCAGCCAAGTGCGATGGTGCATGCCTGCAACCCCAGCACACAAGAGACTGAAGCAAGAGACTGGGCTTCATAGTGAGACCCTATCTCATCTTAAAATTTATATAAACCTATGAAAAACAGAATTGTCTCATCTGTCCCAAGTAGGTTTTGCTCTTGTTTGACTCTAATCCCATAGACGTCAGGTAATATGTTTGTTATTTGGTACTTTAAAATAGGGCCCCATTCTATAGCCCGGGCTAGCTTAGAACTTGTGGTTGTCCTCAGAAGTGCTGGGATTATGGCTGTGAGCCTCCGCTCCAGGCTCTGCTGTCTTTTACATTGCTAACATGATAAACGCAGTGTATGTAAACCCTGACAGTGTTTCTCTTTGGTAGGAAATTCCCCTGTGCCTCTCCTTCCTGGCTCTGACTTACAGAGAATAAGAGGGGCGAGGGTTTGGAGTTTTTTCTTGAAAAAGGCCAGTGTTATCTTTTAACAGTCACTGCATCCATGGCCTTTATGCACGGTGAGCCACAGAGTGGGCTCCCTCCCTGCAGCAGAACTCTGTTTGAACTCAGTAATTTCTCAAATCTGATAGATAAAACTGTGTGGCTTTTGCTTCCTGTCCCTTCCTCCACCCCTAAACCATACAGCGCCGTGTTCTCTGGTGACATTTACTCACGCAGACCTCCTCACGGCTCTCCTCTGTGTGAGGGGGATGTGCTGTCCAGTGCCATTTAGAACAGCCTGCCTCGGAGCCCGCCCCGAGAGTGCTCCTGCTACAGCTCAGTGCTGAGGGTGTGGGCCTGGGGAATCCATGATGCAGGTGCCTATAGATACCCAAGACGTGCTAATTCAGAATGCTGGATGCTCGGAGCTCTTGAGTGCAGGTCCCAGTGCTTCAGCCCGGCACAGCGACAGAGGCAGGAGACCAGAATGGGGAAAGTCACTGAAAACTCCAAGTTCATCTCCCTACAGATGGCTTATACAGCATTAAATCTGTCATTTAGTCCTAATTGTCAGATAAACCAAGATTTGAACTCTGTGTATGGCTCTCTCTGCTGACAGGATACAAACCCCGGACCTGTGGGTAACTTCTGAGGCCTAATCAGCAGTTTCAGAGCTCCGGTCCTTGAGTTTGTTTTATTAAAAGGCTCTGTTGTCATGCTCAGACTGGAAGCCCTTCCTCCTCCTCAGAGTCCCTGTTCACCAGATGCTGTCCTAAAAGCGGAGAGCCCTGTTCCAGCCTGGCGTGTGCTCTCCTTTTGATGTGACAGATGTGGAGCACTGGGCTAGGGCTTATCAATAAGATGCTGTTTGACACTTGGCTTTGCCTTTGTTGTCACTGTGGAGAACTAGCTGCCAGGGCCTCTGTGTTCAGAATTGAGACTGGAATCCCTGCAGTTCCCATGGGAAGTTTCTTCTCCTTTGTGATGTTATGTCACAAGTTTTTATTACCTCCTTTTGCAGACTGTTCCTCTCTAGGACAGTATGTGCAAAGCGGACCTCTGCCTTCATTCATGCTTAGACAGATTTAAGCATTAATTTTTAAAATATTCACTACCATCCACATTGTCTACCAATGATTTTAAAGATGTTTCCTAGAGAAACACATTGTCAAATATCAACTCTGGTGTGTTGCTATTTCTTAATTTTTAAGTAGAAGTGATCCGGTTGTTGTTTTCCTTGATAGTCACTACTGAAAGTTTAAGGAGAATAGAGACTTGTCCCTTTCAGTGTTCGGTGGGTTATTTTTAATAAAAAGGTTGAACAGGGTAATGTACCTGAGGATAGAATGCATGCCTGTAATCTCGCCCTAGGAAGGCTTCAAAACCAGCCTGGGCAACAGAGCTGAGAGCAAAGTTTATGTCAGTCAAGATCCTGCAGGTGTACTTCAGAGATAACTTAGGAGTGAGAGCCCTCATTTCATAGTGTAGTCTTTGGGTTTGTTAGGCTTTTGCAGTGATAGATTCCGACAGTGTTTGTGTTCTGAGGCGCTGTCTCTCTAAGGTAAGAAACTGGATGGGAGCACAGGAAAGAGCTTGGGGTATGACAAGTAGTGACACAGGGTCCCAGCACCCAGGAGGCAGGGGCAGGCGGAGCTCTGTGAGTTCAAGGCCAGCCTGTCTACAGACTGACTTCCAGGGCAGCCAGGGCTACATGGTGAAATCCTGTATTGAAAAAGGAAGGGGGCGAGGGGTGAAAGGGTCTATGCTAGGGCTAGATAATAGTAGAGTGTTTGTCTAGGGTAAGTGAAGTCCTGTGCTCAACCCCCAAACCCACAAAAGCAAGAGTATCTGTGTACCCTCGAATGTCAGAAGAGGACATCAGAGCTCTGGAACTAGAGTGACAAATGTCTGTGAATTCCCCATGCCGGCTCCAGGGACCAAACCTGGGCCCGCTGCAGAACACATGCTTTTAGCCATGGAGCCATCTCTCTAGCACCCAAAAGAGCCTTTCTGAAAAGAGGGAGGGAGGGAGGGAGGGAGGGAGGGAGGGAGGGAGGGAGGGAGGGAGGGAGGGACTGACTTAGAATTCCAGCACAATGGTAGTCATCTGTGCCCCGAAGTCCCAGCTCAGTTGTAGAGGCAAGAGAATAACTTGAGCCTGGGAGTTTGGGTCTAGCCTGAGCAACATAGTCAGTTCATAGCTATTCTTGTTGGAGCCAGCTGGCTGCTTGGTTGACTGGTTTTAGGACAGGAAAAAGTTAAAAGCTACCGATTAATCCTGCCTAGTGACACTTGGCACTGCTTCCTCTTGGCAGAATCCATTCTTCCCATGTAACTGTCCTGGCAGGAACAAAGGTATTCGAGAGACAGTTGTCCCCCTCCCTTTATTTGCCAAGAACTTTATGCTGGGAAAAGTAAAAAGGCTTAACCCTAGTGCCAACCAGAGAGGATCTCCTGGGAAGAGATCTCACATAGTTCTGACAGCTTCTGCTAGACCATCTTGCAGGAAATACTGGAGCCCAGAATATGGGTAATGGCGTTACACCAGGATTGCCCAGTTGTGCAAACTTCTTGCCTTGTGTTCATGTCAGGACTTAGGGGGCCAGAGTGTAACTAGATTTGTTTATTTGTTCCTCTTCCCAGTGACTACATTGAGTAAATGTCCTTTCCCCCATTTCATGAATCTTTAAGTGGCCGGTGGAAGATGGGATGAGAGCCACACCTGCAGGGCTGCCGGGGCCCAGGCTCTGACCCTGACAACTCTCATATCACAGAATTAATCCCAAGAGGACCAGACGTGAGAGGGGACGTGCAGGAGTAGCTGGAAGTTCCTGTGTAGTACTTGGTTCACCTGATGCATTTAAAGCTCCTTAAAATCCCTGGCTGTTGCTCTGGAATATTCTGGCAGGAAGATGCAACTGTATGCAAGCAAAAAGGAAGGATCAAAATATTTCCCTCCATCTTTTCCTCTAGAAAAAGGGTAATGTTGTGATAAAGAGAAAAACATTGCAGCAATGCAACAGTCACCTGGTAAGCCACCTTCAGCTGTAGTTACTGGTCAGCAACAGTGTGACAGGCGCCGAAGATACGACACTACCCAGGGATGCAGGAAGGACAACGGAGAAGAATAAAGCAGAGTAAAGAAGTGGGATGAAGGTGAGGACTGATTGCAAGGAGGAAGGTGTTTAAACCTAATGGAGTCGCAGGAACGAGCCCACTGTGCAGAGATCTGGGAGAAGAATCCCCCGAGATGAGACCATCTTGGCACAGAGGCAGGATTGGTCAGCACAGATGAAATGCAGTGAGCCCAGGGAAATTCTCTTCCAAGAGGAAGGTTTTATGAGATCAATTTGACTTGTAAGACATCTTTCCCAGACCAGACTCCAACCAACCTAAAGCCAGATGGCTTGCCTGGATTTCCCTTGTTGCTGGCAACATAATCAGTAGAGCTGTAAGCAGTGTATTAATAATAGAGTTACTTGTTTTATTAGCACAGGGGCTGACTTTAGTGGTTCATGTTTGTAATCCCAGCGGTCCAGAGGTGGAGGCAGAAAGATCAGGAGTTCAAAGACGCCTCAGCTACATGATGAGTTGCAGACCAGCTGGGCTACATGAGAAAAGTAAAGACTGACCAATATTTGTACAGGGCCAAATGGTAAATATTTTTGTCTTTACTGTAGTCCCAGCCACTCAGCTTTGCTGTCGTAACACAAAAGTAGCCATTTGCTGTAAATCTATAGGCTAATAATCTTCATTTACAAAAATAAGTAGGAAGGTGAAACAAGCCCATGGGTCCCAGTTTGTCCCTGGGCCTCTCTCTCCTAGGATATCGAGAGGTGATAATGTGGGGACAGCAATTCAGTTCTGAAATGGTCATTGCCTTTTTTTAAGACAAGGTTTCTTTTTGTAGCCCTGGGTGTCCTGGAATTCACGCTGTAGACCAGGATGGCCTCAGACTCAGAGAGATCCACCTGCCTCTGCCTCCTAAGTGCTGGGATTAAAGGCGTGAGCTACCACCGCCCGGCAATAATTGCCAAATTAAGAGAACAAGGCTGTGGAGAATGAGAAGATGGCTGAGAAAAATGGGGCATTTGCTTTTCCCTGGCGGTGACTTAGCAAACTTCATGGCTAACAGCACATTCATTCACATAAGTTATATATATATTCATGTGGTAAAACACTGAAAAATGGTCCAAAGAAGTTAGAATCCTCATTCAGTTGCTGCTGAAGGGAGTGGTGTGCTCAGACCTGAGAGGGCTGTGTCCACGGTGTGGAAGTGGCTGACAAGGATGCAGCAGTAGCCCAGGCAGGGGCTCCTGCCTGAAGTGAGCTGAGCCGCTGAGAGGGGAGTGGGTGGAGCTGACCTAAGAACACTGCAGGCTCCACAGGATGATGTCTCGTTGGACCTAGGATGTTGAGGGTAAGAATTGAGGGCAGCTGAGGAGTGAGGAGAGTGCGGCTCAGTCTTAGGGCGCCTGTCTAGCACGCATGATGCCCTGGGTTCGGTCCCCAGCACTGCAAAGGCAGCAGTCAGGACGGCTGTAGTCAGTGTGCACAGAG